ATATATATGAGGTCTTTAAATGATATTGATCAACATTATTTAGGGTTAGTTCAACTAATATTTAGATTATTGCTGCCCAGCACTGATAACTACTGATATATTTAATTTTCTAACCTCTTCAGAACCTACATCGTGATGTTGGACTGGTTGTTCAGAGGGACTAAATTTTAGGTTTCTTTTTTTTTAAAGTAAGCAGGCAGCTGTAGCTGAGTATTTAGGAGTCGTCTTCCAATGTGAGAGTTGGATTGTTCAATTTAACGTTGAAGTGTCCTTGGGCAAGACATTGAACCCCCACTTTCTCTGATATGTGTCCTATTAGTGTATGAATGTGATCTAAAACACTGATTAGTCTCTATAGAATGGTTTATGGAGACCAGCATTAAAGAGTGATCTATGAAGTGCTGTGTGAATGGGTAAATGAGGGCACATATTGTAGGGTAAAGCACTTTGATTATCCTGGTTGGAAAGAAAGGCACTATATTAGTACATTTGCCATTACCATTTAAAATGTACATTATATTTTAACTCTTAGTTTTGTCACTTAGTGTGTGAATGACTGTAGTGTCATTGGAGTCCGCAGGGACTTGATAAAGCACTACACACGTAATTCAGACTATTTACCATAGCTGATAGAATACTCACTTGGGCATAGCATGCCTCTTCAATTGCCAGACCTGTGGATAAATCCACCTGAAAGAGAATAAAACCTCTCTTAATGAAAATTCATAATGAAGAAAAAGGGATTTAGAGTATTTTTCTCAGCTTAGGCCATAGACAAAACAGCAATCGTGTCAGGAAACCTGACCCAGAAAAAGGAAACCGGGGCACCTCTCTGGAGCCAGGCCATATGGTTGAAGCTAGCCGGCAAGCACTTGGTGGTCAAACCTTGGTTCTTGGGGCTTGGACGGGCCAATCCCGAGACAATTACAGAATGCTCACAAGCCCCTGGCTGAACTCCTTTGTGTTGGGAGTTTTGTGTATGAGACGGTTGCCTCCCTGTGGCTTTAAGCTGCAGGAGATGAAGGTACTGACTGTTGTTTGTGCCTATGCACCACACATCACTTCAGATTACCCAGTCTTTCTGGAGTCTCTGTACGGTGTCCTGGAAGAGGTGCAGCCTGGGGATTCCTTTGTTCTACTGGGTGACTTCAATATGTAGGCATCGACGGAGTTATCTGGAAGGGGGTGATTGGGAGGAATATTGGGACCTTGTCCTCGGTGATGTATTGCTTTGGTCAGTAATGCTGAAGAAAGAGTTGAGTCAAAAGGCAAAGCTCTCGATTTATTTGTCTTTCTTCCAACCCTCGCTTATAATCAAGGGGTGTGAATCACACAAACGAAAAAACAAGATCCCAGATACAAGCAGCCGAAATGATACAAGCAGCCGAAATGAGCTTCAAGGCAACCTGCAGGGTGGCTAGGCTCAGCCTCTGAGATGACAAGCTCAGTCATCCAGGGAGAGCTTGGAGCGGAGCTGCTGCTCCTCCACATCGAAAGGAATTAGTTGAGCTGATTTGTGTATTTAATTAGGATGCCTCACTTTAGAGGTGTTCTGAGAATGCTGTACTGGTAATCCTCGGGGAAGACTCAGGGCTTGCTGGAGATCATATCTTCTCTGGCTTGGGAATGCCTCAGTGTCCCTTACTACAAGATAATTGTCGCGGGAGAAAGGAATGCAGAGGAATAATGTACCATATGATTATTTTTAATAGGTTCTGTTTTTGACGAGTTGGTGACTTACACTGAATTTAGTTTTAATAAATTACACCATTATTCTACTTTCAGACCCCTTACATCCACATATGTTTGGCAGAAAACAATTCATCAACAGCCAAGCCATAGTAATGTGATGTCACTAAAACTCCTCAGGATATTTTGTAAAATTAAATTTATAGTATTTGTGGAATTGGCTTACCTCTATCCCCTGGTTAATTGCTAGTTTTGCCATCCTTACTGCAATTGGACCCTGTGGAACCGAAAACGTGACAAAACTGTTGTTAGGTTTGAAGGTTTTAAAATAGTAAAAGCATCTATTCAGTCGCATCTAACAGGGATGAGTGAGGACGAGTCAAAAGGTTCAGGATACCCTTTTATCTTAGAAAGGAAAGGGTAAAAGAAATATATGAATACCCCAGCAACTAATGGGTGAGGGGGGCCTATATTTTAGGCTTTGTCCAGAACATGGCCTCCATCTTGGATCAAAATGAAAATTTTCAAATGGAAAGGGTGTCATGGAGCATATCAAAAGAGGCTGGATTGCTGCAATCAGAAGTGCAATCTCTCTTGTGGTTCAAAAGTTATCAACACAGGAAGTTGCAACAACTGGGAACATTGCCCGTGATGCACAGCTAATTTGTGTTCAGTGTGCTTTCCCTGGTGCTGAACACAGAGCTTATCTGTGACGAACAAGTTTTGAACTATCTGTGTACATTTATAAATGCACACACACACTTTATACAGGGTTTGCTCTTTTAGCATCTACTACTTTTACCTGAGGGTTGATCTCACGGGCAAGCTCCAGAGCCCGCAAATATGCAGCATCCCCACTGTCATTCTGCTCCACAGAATGATTGACCAGCCCCAGTGCATGTGCCTCTTTTCCATCCACTACCTTGGCAGCAAAAATTAGCTCTTTGGCAAGAGAGATGCCAATCAACCTGGGGAGACGCTGCGTACCACCTACGATTGGATAGAGACCACAAATGAAGCACGACTGTATCTCTAGTTTTGTCTTTTTTTTTGTGCTTTCTTGGACAATGCACATGGAATTAAGCTCCTTTCAAAATGTTTAAGGAACCCAATTTTACTCTGGATTTGTCGGTTAAAAGTTTTAAGGGATTACAAAAAATAAAAATATAAAAATTCATTCTTACCTGCTCCTGGAATAATTGCGAGTTTAGTTTCAACTAGCCCCATTTTTGCAGAGTCAGCTAAAGAAATAAAAGAACAAAAACTAATTAATTCTGGATTTGAAGAACAACTTAGCAGAAATTATAAACACAAGTAATTTTTACAAATATAATCT